AAATGAAGCTGGGTCCAAGCTGGGTCCAAGTCTCTGTGGTTCCTATGCTGTGTCAGTAGGCAGATGTAGGATACTGAGATATCAGTAACTTGCAAGAGAATCACCCCACCAAGTCAAAAATAACTTTTCTGAGGTGTCTGGACTTTTACCTGGATCCAGGCTGCACTTTCTAGTGAAATAAGCCCATGTTTTCTCAATCTCATATCTTTTTTCAATTCTTATCAATAAAAATTAGGAATACCCCACCACAGAGCTAGGTACATTTTGGTGTGGCATCAGAGGATCCCTAGATGAGCTGTGGTGCCATTCTCACAGCAGCTGGATGTGCCCCAGCTCACACATGGGCTGAGCCCAGTTTGGGGGAAGTCAGGGCCAAAGGCAGCAGTCAGAGCATTTGTCATCCTCTCCCCAGGAACTGCATCGGGCAGCAGTTCGCCATGAACGAGATGAAGGTGGCTCTGGCCTTGACCCTGCTCCACTTCGAGCTCTGCCCAGACCCATCCAAGCTTCCCATAATGATACCACAGATCGTCCTCAGGTCCAGCAACGGAATACACCTGCATTTGAAGAAGATTCCCTGATCCCACGGGGTACCACGGCAGGTGGGCAAGAGCTCTCCCAAATGACACTCCACCCAGAGGTTTAAGCAGGGAACGAGATCCACACTGGCCACATTGGATCTCTCCCACATTAACCCCCCACCATTGCTGTCCAGGGGGGCACACTGAGCCCCCTCGAACAAACACCAGCAGGTCCAGGTCCCCTCCTTGCAGGGGGAGCAGCACTGCTAAGGGGGTTCCACAGCACAGCTGTGGCTCAGCCTTCACCTCCGTGGGCATCCTCCATGTCCTGATCATCTCCTGACCTCCAACCTGCCCTCACATGCTGCCTGGCGGGACTTCTGTCACCCGTCTGTGGATTTGTTCCATTGTCAGTCTCCAGGATGGGCTTGGCAGTGAACAATGCTGGCATGGTTTGCATGGATGTCTAAAGCCTGGGCGCTACCCCAGCACAGAGTCCTTCCCCTGCCTCCAGCCTGGGTGTGCCAGGGCAGGAGGGCTCCTCCTGGCAGCCTTGCTGCATCCCCATGCAACACCCTCCAAATTATTCCCGTTCTGCGGCTGGCGCTGTGCCCACCATTATGGAGATGTGGGCCTGTGGTTTCTTTCTGCCCCAGCACTGAACTTCCTTGAGTTGAGGGTGCTCAGGAGCCAGCACAGAGACATGACACCAGCTAACCTGGAGAAAGCACTCACCCCACTGAAAACAATGTGTGATCAGCCTTGGCCTCGTCTCTGAAACAAGAATAAAGCTTTGTGAGGGTGCTCCCCAAGCATGGCTTTGGCTTCCTTTGCATTTGGGGGTTAGGGGGTACAGGAGGACCCCCAATAGGCCAGAGGCAAGGCTGTGCCCAAGGGTGCAGCCCTGTGAGCTTTTCCTCAACCCACTGGTTACATGGGTGGGTTTGCCCCCTGATGAGCCTGAGGAGCCTGTTTCCACACCTCCCACAACATACATCAGCAAGCCCTCACCTTTGACTCCAGGAGTTTCCATGGTGAGGAAAAAACTGAAATGAATCTGTGGTCAGACTAAGCAAAACACAAATACATACCACACACAGAGAAATGCTGGTGGTAAGAACAAAATCAGCTTGCAAAACAAAACAAGTCCCAAGATGAAACATGAGTCTGCCTCAAAACCTTTTCTGCAGAGGCTGAGAGCTGACCACTCAGTACATGAGTGACCTGCACAAGGGGTGAAGGTGAGCACTGCCCCTGGGATCAGGCTTGTTTTGGGGGTACAGGGAGCCTTTCCCCAAGCACCAGCCAAGGTGGACCATCTGCATGAACTGCAGGCCCAGGGTGTGAAATGGATCACTAGGTGGCAGTGGGAGACCCGGAAAAAGCCCTCCCTGGTCCCTGGTAAAACCCCTCTGGGCTGGGCAGGGAGCATGGGCAGGCTCAGCAAGGCAGCTGATGTGCCCTGTCCCTGGGGATACCCCGTCCCCATCCCCACCCTCAGCCGTGCAGGGCAGCAGAGCGGGCACTGCTCCATCACAGTCCCGGAGTGATGGTGTTACCCACGCACAGCCCAGGGAAGGTTTGTCACTGAGAGTGCCTCAGAACCCAGCAGTCGTCAGGAGAAACTGAGGCTCAGAGTGACAGACAGCCGTGCCACAGGGACGGACAAGGCTGTTCGTCTTTCACTCACAGCAATGGCATCACCAAATCCCTGCAGGTACTAATGTATCCAAAGCACGTCTGTCCGTCTGTCTGTCTCTCTGGGCAGCTCGGGACAGCCAAATCTGAGCATCTGCCCATCTGACTAAATTCCTGCAGCCCCCCGTGCTCCCCGTCTCTGCTGCCTGCTCAATCCTTAGTTTGGGAAACAAAACTCTCCTCAGACCTTTGTTTTGGCTGTCTGGGACAGGGATGCTGGGATTAACCAGTAAAGTGCAGCTTGCATTTATTTTGTAAGGCATCTGGAGACCAAGTTCCTCTTTTCCTAGCCCACACCTTCTTACCTTACTCCCAGGAAGAGACTGGATGCAGGTTGTGTAGGTGCTGGTGCCACCACACTTGCACCTCTGGTGGACTCAGGCTGGTCTAACAGGTCAGACTCCAGATGTCTTCCTCTCCTGCTCCAGCACAGCAAGGCCTTTGGAGGGCAGCAGTTTGATACACCTTTTCATTACTGAAAAGTCCTGTTTGTCAGATATTTCAGCCACCCACCTGGGAACAGGCAAGCCACCTCATAGCTCTGCTCATCTACTCTCCAGCAGGTGGTCCAAGAAATGAGCTTCGGGAGCACTTGGCCGTAAAGACCCATCCCAGTCTCCTTGGTGGTCTGTTGCAAAGGAAACTGGGTGGCACTTGAAGATGTCACTACAGCATCTTCTGGTTTGGATGTGGGGGGGATAAGGCCAGAGCAGGACAAGTTAGATCTGAAGAGGACCCCCAGCTGCTGCCCACCCCTGGGTCTGTACGGGGGGCCTGTGTTTTGAGGCCATCACCCTGTGACCAGCCTTGACCAAGGCTGCTCGTTTGATTTCCAAGAGTCCTCCTGATTGTTATAAACGACCAAACCACAACCACTGCAAGTGGAGACCTTCTCCAGGGAAATCGCTCTTGCAAATCTGCTTGGGAAAGAGAGGAGAAACCGCCGGCATTTTTGATGCAAATAATGGATTGTTATTCCAGGCAGTTATGACAATAATTGAGGTAACCTGAGCCAAACACTTTAAAATCCCTTACCACTAAGAACTGTGCTTAACCCAGGTTCTCAGTTTGAAGAACCAAAGCTTTTGGGGGAAGGTCTCACAGCACCGATTCATCAAGGAGCCCTAATACAGGAGCAACCAGGAGAAAATTCTTTCACTTTTCAGCTTGGCTGGGTCAAACTGAGCAACACAAACATCCCCCCACCTTCAGATGCTGGCAGTTTCTGGACAGCAGCGTGTACAAGATAACCTCCTCTGCCAAGCCACCACCAAACGGTTTTGAGAGCAGCAAAGGAGTTGTGCGAGGAGCTGGGCAGCAGCCACTGACACAGATGTAATCGCCTGCACATTTGCCCCAAATGTCTCCCTGCCAGGCAGTGACATTTCTGCGCTGTCTCAGCTCTCTCCTCCATCACCATGGCTACAGCAGCCGCCAATCCACGGGCGAGTCCTTCCAGGGTACCAACAAACCCTCTGGGAGATGCTCCGAGAGCCAGCCCCTTTGGCAGGGAGACACTTCGGGGACCCTGGGACAGCCCGTACCACCAAAAATTTCCCCTTTTCTTATTTCCCTTCTTGTTTTTATTTTTCTCTTTTTTTTCCTTCTTTTTTTTTTTTTTGAAACACAAACAATGGAGCTAAAAGGTTGGGTATCAGGCCAATAATCATGAATGACGTGTCATTATTACACACCACACATTCATTATCTCCCACTCCAGCCATGTCACAGGCGGCTGGAGGAGGGCAGATAACGGGGTGCCTTCATGCAGATGGCTTATTATCACGATGTTCCAGGAGGGGCTTTAAGACAGTTAGTGATGCTGTTTGCCAGTTAAAGATTAGAGACCCCAGAGAATAATTAACAATCCCAAAACCCAGTTTTTCTGCTGGATTCTTCAGCTTTCTCCCCCCTCCCCCATCCTCTTTAATCTATTCACTCTAGCAGGTGTAATAAAGTGATAAGGACAGGCTCCGGGGATGTTTGTTTGGCTACTACGGGTGTACAAACCAACAATGGATGGTATTTTACTTCTGGCTTTCAGTGGCTTGAATCGAGACCAAAAATTTTGCAGCCCCCTTGCCCACACACAGCCACCCCTCCCTGCTGTGCTCCCAGCTCCCACCTGGGTGGCTGAGCTTCTTCCCCACCCGAAGGACAGCGTTGGTGGGACGGGCTCCCTTTTTGTTTCTGGAGGTCCAAATCACATCTCTTGGGTGCCAAGGTGCCCAGTGCCAGGACATAAACCCCAGGCTACACTGTTTGGGTCCAGGGCTGGAGCTGGTGGCTCTTCCAGCAGCGGTTTATCTGAATACGGCAAGCCTTTAATTAAACTACCTTTCAATAATTTACATGGCAGTTGTCCACCTGCCCAAACTGCTCCAGGGTTGTGGTTACAGCTGGAACAGAAACAGAATCTTAAACCCTCACAGCTAAAGGGCCTCAGGAGAGATTAGGAAAGCATCAGAGTAAAGGTGGATTTCAACAAGATGCCCCATTATCTCCAGGTCTAAGAGATGAGTTGCACCCTCCTGGATGTCAAAGAAAAGCTGTGATACATCTTGTAACAAGGTGGTAATGCAAAAAACCCACCCTGAATGTCTTCTGCCCAAAAGGAGATGGTCCTGTCTGCAGCAAAATCCAAACCTGGATGTTTTCCTGAAGCCCAGTCTTCAGAGTTAATGGCATTATGGAGTGAGGGATAGGATGAAGCACCCATGATGTCACTGCGAAGGACATGGTCACTCCCCAATGCTGCATGGAGAGAGGTGTTGGGGAGGATTTGGCCCCAGGCAAGTTGTCTCAGGCCCCTTCAGAGGCTCAGGCCCCCAGTCACAGAGGCTGTGGGAGGTGCCCATCACCTGGGGCCTGTCAGGTACTGCCCCAACTCTGGAGGACATTCCTGAGCTCCCAGGGTCGGCATGGAAGGCACAAGCACTGGCACGCCAGAAGTTGTCATCCCAATCACGCTCATCCTTCCAGGGAGGGATGAGACAGCATTGTGCTTTAAAGAGCATCCCGACCCTATCAGCAAGAGATGAGATATCCTAATTACGGCAGTACAGGCGAGGATCCGGGCTGTATCAGCCAGTACAGAAAGGTAAACAAGAAATATAACAATGGACCCTTAACACTCATTAGCTGTGTCAGATAATACCTCACTTTTCTCCCTTTGGGGCTTAAAATCTAATTAAGATTTTCCAACAATAAATTTCATTTATGCTCGTTCCCTTTTGTTCTTTTTAGGATCACACCGAGAAGCATCTGCGAGGCGGCTGCACAGCTCAGGGGAAGGCAGCTTCACTCAATCAGCCTCGGCTTGTGCTTCATGGACAAGGGAAACTGAGGCAGGACAGCACCATGGACAGTACAGAGGTGAGGTATACCACTGAGGAGATATCCCTGGCTCTTGCTTGAGATGTTTTCCCCTGGGAAGTGAACTCTGAATGGATACTGGCTGTGATAAGACCAAGCACTGAGGCTCCTGGACTAGCCCAAAATGTCCTGCAGTAAAGCCCCACCCTTCTCCTTGCTTGGACCTACAGCCATGGCAGGGATCCATGGGGAAAGGGACACTGAGACCCACTGAGTCCTGAGCACACCTCCACTCCAAACCCACATCCAGGCACTGCAGGGTGAGCAGCTCAAGCATCCATCACATATTGAGGCTGTGCACAGGGCATGGAAAAAGCTCCCGCTGTTACTCATTATAAGGATATCATTGCTAACTCCTTTTGCAACTGAGAGGTAAAAAATTAATGGGCTCCCCTCCTCTCACCACACCCCCAGCCCAAGTGCTGATGCCACGGGAACATGTACTGGCTAATCCTTAAACCCTGCTGAGCACAGCACTACCACTGAACTCTGGGAAGCTTGTTTTTTCCAAAACCACATGACACTTGGCACCTACAAGAGAAAAGCTGGGGGAGCAGCATCCACAGGGGCATGAGTGGGGAGGTGCAAGACCCAGCCTGGGGCTGGCTCAGCCTCCAGCTGTCCAAGGGAAGGTGGTAGAAGGGAACAGCTCTGACACGATGCTGGGGGTGCAGCCATCGTACCTCCAAATCTGAGGGCCTGACCCCTCTAACCCTTCTGTCTGTTTTCTTCTACTCCCATGCAATTTCTCAACTGGAGCTGTGATTTCTCAACTCCAAGTCTTTGAGGGCATTTTCGAAACACTCACCTACCTGAGTCTCTAGGGGAAAGGCCTTTCAAGGTGGATCTGTTACTGGAAGGCTCCTGCCTGAATTTTTGTGTCACCACCTGCTTGGACATCAGCAGCTTCACCTGCAGAAGTGCACAGCAGGGTCCTAAAAACACCCTGCTCCCCTCAAAACCGGAGGCTGCCAAAAATGCCCCTCTTATAAACCTCCCACCCCATCCCTCCCAGTCCTGCTTCAGCTGGGCTGCCCTTGATTTCAGAGTCCCTTCGCCCTTTCATAAGTTGTCAAGAAGAGGACTCTGAATGCCACTTGAGTAACTCATGTTCCAGGCATGGCCAAGGCATTAGAGCTCTTTTCAAGCTTCAAATGCCAAGGCTTAGAAGCACTTGTTGCTCCCATGGTGGCCCTGGCAGTGTCCCCACCATAGCAGAAGATGGACCCTGGTTAATGAACAGCCTGGCAGGAGCAGGTTGCACTATGGCCAGCTGCCCTGGGATAGCCAGCACTGCCCAGAGCAGCCTCCAGCCACTTCCTGGCAGCAGGGATAAGTGATTGCCATTCACAGCCTCCAGCCCTGGGAATGGCCCCCAGTTGGCTGTAGGTCTGCATGTTGTGGTCAGTGGGATTCAGGGAGTGCTGCCTTTCACCCATTAAGCAGCACTGGGAAGTGCTGGATTGGTGCTGTGCCTCAATTTCCCCACCCAGCAAATGGTGAATGATGCTCAGCCGCCCTTTGCAGCCCTGACGTGGTCCAAATGCTGAGCATTCCCTGATGTCCTTCATTTTCCCAACTGCCTTAAGGCTGGGAGAGCTGTGAGATGCCAGAAAGTCTTTTGGCTGATAAGCGAAACGACCCTCTCTGCTGTCATAGGGGCAACAATTCTCTTTATTGCTCACAGGGGAGATATGTACAGGGGAGAAGGTTTGTTCTGACATTAAAATGTTTCGTGCAGGTTGTAAAAAGGAGGGTGAACCAAGAAGAAAAGAGCAGGTTTTCTATCAGTAACTCCCCATAAGGCAGCTGGGGGTGCAGGGAGGTCCCAGGCACCCAGCAGGAGACCCTTTGTGTAATAAGCAGGTCAACACCCTCCTGGGACTTGGGACATCAGCCTTGCCAAGCAGGTGGGGTGACCACCAGGCAGGAGAGGTGGCACCTCCAGACCTTTCCTGGGGACCGATACCCACGTGGACACCAGTGCCCGAGGCAGAAGAGCACGTCCCACAGGTGTGGAAAGATGGGGAGATGGTGGTGCCATGGGGAGGTCAGGGACCCATCACACACAGGGGGTGCCAGGGCAGAGGGTCTCTGTGAAAATGCCCATCGCGATCGTGTGAAGCCAACTGAGGGGAGGAAGGAGGGTGGCTGGTTGGGTGCCTGCTACATGGCAGTGGTGATCACCTTCTCCTCGGGCTCCACCGTGTTCTCGTAGGCGTGCTGGTTCTCTTTGGACCTGCGTGGGGAGGGAGAAGCACAATGCTGAGCTCACCCCCAGCAAGATCGGCCTCCCCGAAGCCACCACTGGGAATCCTGACCTCGCTGGTGCCAGCTGTGCACGGAGTGAGGGGGGAGGTGGGGAGGACAGGAGGGGTCACCCTGCCAGGAAGGAAGCCAAGAGCAGGGTGGGAATCGCTCTAATTTTTGGTGAGGTCTGTTTTGACAGTCAACATCTACGTGGTGACTTGTGGCCACTTTTGGTGGCTTCTTCTGTAGGAAAGGTGTGATGCAGCATAAGAAAAATGTGGTGTAGCAGGTTGCAAGGTGGTGGATGGATCATGGGGCTCAACTGCAGGGACAGGGAGAGACAAGGGAGGAGGGGATACTGGGATAGTCCCTTTCCCTGCCTTCTGCTTAACCTCTGGATGATAAAAGTCCCCAGACCCAGGTGCATGGGACGTGTAAGGCCCTGAGTGGGAGAGACTGTGGCTCTGTGTGCCTGAGCTGTCCCCAGGGGGACAGAGCAGAGCCTGGGAGCCATGGGGAGAAGGTCTGAGAAAGTCCTTCACCTGAAGTCGGCTGCAGCTGATATGTATCTCCCTTCATGGCCATTGGACATGACAGGATCCTGCTTGTCCTCTACAGTCACCACCGTCTCAGCATTTTCCCTGGAGGGAGAGAAGGGAGATAGGACACTGAAGGAGCCATGCTGGGGAGCAGCCTCCCAGTGGTGATGGCAGAGAGGAAGGGACTGATCTGTCACTACAGAGACAATAAAGGTGTGATCCTGGCCTTGGACACACAACTCAGCCCCCTTCCCATCAGGACAAGGGCGAGGACAAACACTTTCACTGCTGGTTTGCAGAGGCTGTGCCCAGATGCCAAATACCAGCCCCTGCCTCTGGAGCTGGGACTCCCAGCACCGGGCTGGCAGTCAGCAAGACTCATTGTCAATATGTGGGATTGTTTCCTCCCACTAACTGGTTTTTCCAGTCTACTTCTATGTAATCTGTTGCAAAATAGTCCCCTATGGATCCCAACTGACACAGAGAGAAAAGTCAGGGCTCTGCTGGTGCTGCAGCTCTGGCTGGGCTGTAGGTGTGCACGTCTGTGTGAGCAAAGCAGAGCTGCTTTCTCTCAGATGTGAGTCTGGATCACTTGCAGAAGGAACCATTGGGCAGGGATGGAGTGTTTGACCTCAGACAGAATCTAGAAGCTGAGCTCTGGAGCGAGCCCGTAGCCCAGATGGTGCCAGGGGGAGTTATCTGAGGAGGGTGGGTGCAGGTCCGCCCTGAAAGCACATCCCTGACTCCTCCAGGGCGATTTCAGAGGCTTCTCCAAGGAACAGACTGGCATAAACAAGCAGCAGCTTGAGCTGATAGCTGCTGTCACAGTGACAGTGCAGAGCTGGCAGGGTGCCAGGCAGCCGAGCCTCATTGCCCGCTCTGCTGAAGAGGGGCCACATTAATTAAAACAGGGCACCATCCCCCCTCAAGCCCCTCGCAGCATCCTCTGCCTCTGGGCTGGGAAGAGGCAGCCAGGGATGGGCAGCGGTGGGAAACACCATCCCTGCTTCCCACTCCATGCACTGGGGGTTCCTTCAGTTTGAGGACAAAGGTTCCTCTTTGGGAAACAAAGACCTGCAGTCCTGGCAAATCAGACCATGTAAATATAGGTGTACACTCACTGCATTATGTGTTGGCCCTGAATGCATCCTAAAGGGACTCCCCTTAAATACATCTGGGGATGAAGCCGACCTGCTGTGCATCAGGATACACCCCAGCTCTCCCCCTCCTCAGCCTGGACAGGCTGCAGGAATGCACAAGTACAAGAACACTCCAGCACCTTTGGGTGCAAAGCCCAAAGCGACAGTGCCAGCGTAGAGGAATCAGGAAACAGGCTTCATTCCCTGTCGACTTTGGGCTCAGATTCAAGATCAGGTTCCTGTAACTTTGCCAGTTGGCCTTGCTTGGCTGAGCAGGAGCAGCAGCCTGTGGCTTTGCTTGGCCAGCAGTGGACAAGAGGTAACCTGTCCCACAGAGCCTTCTTCTGATGAGTAAGGCCACCTCATTTGTCTGTGCCATGGGCTCCAGGTTGAGAGCTCTGCCATGGCTTGGCTACCTCCCTCTTCTCCCAGCTCCTCTCAGTGCATTCTGACAACTTGGATCTGTCTGCTTTGCAAACAAAGCTGCTTTGAGCTTATTATCCCACGGATATAAGGCACATGGGAACTGCACCCGCAAAACTATAGAAAACCAGGCTCAGGCCAGTCCCCTGAACATGTGCCCCTGTAAACCAGCCACAATGCTGCTGGCTTCTCATTCCCAGCACAGCACTTTCTCATGGCAGCATTTGTACAGTGCAAGCTCACACCTGGCAATAAGTAACAGGGAGCAGAGACCAGGGCAGGGAGAAGAGGACAGAGAGATGAGGACAGGGAGTCTTTGCTCTCCCTGCCCAGCTCCCAGCACAGCGATCACGGTGTTCCCAGCCCTGGCACAAGGATGGAGGCTGCTGGAAGTGACACGTGCCCAGGCAGCTAAGCCCAACTCTGTCAACCCCCAACACTTACACTTTCTTCTTACACCAGAACCTGTTGACCACGAAAGCGATGGCCACCAGCACTAGAAACACAACCACCGCGATGACACCCTGTGACCACGGCTGGAGGCTGCCCCGGGCTACAGGAAAAGAAGAGGACACAAGTTAGAAATTCATCCTCAGAATTTGTCTGCTGGGTTTCTCCCATTCAGCTTCAGCAGCGTCCAGCC